GAGAGAGAGAGAGAGAGTCGATGGCATGTATGTTCATGAATGATGAAGATCTTTTGACTTCTTACGACTCTCTCTCTCTCTCTCTTCGTGTCTCTGTGTTTCTCCTCGGTTTCGTTGGTGTACTGTCCTAATTGGAATAGCTGATGGGAAGGAGTTCCATCTCCAACAGCTAGCCTTCGCAAGATCGATAGGCAAGGACAAAGCGAAAGAGTGGGAAGATCTTTGTTGGGAGCTGGATTCGAGAGAGGAATGGGGAGGACTCCTTGCTGTGACAAGGCTAATGTGAAGAAGGGCCCTTGGTCTCCGGAGGAGGACACAAAGCTGAAGGAGTTCATAGGGAAGCATGGGACCGGCGGAAATTGGATTGCTCTCCCTCAAAAGGCTGGTAAGTTCAGATCTTCCTCTCGTTTGAGGTGCTCTTTGGGCAAAATTAGACAGGCTATAGATATGAGAGAGATAAAGAGAGAGTGAGAGTACAGATCTGTGTGTCGCAAAGTGCATGGGGTGGATAAGTTTGGATGGTGTACAATTTACAGGGCTGAATCGATGTGGGAAGAGCTGCAGGCTGAGATGGCTCAACTACCTGAGACCCAACATAAAGCATGGAGAGTTCTCGGAAGAGGAGGAGAGGATAATATGCAACCTCTTTGCCAACATTGGAAGCAGGTGAGGAACACCCCAATTCAGATACATGCATGATGATGATTACCTCCTTGTTTCTGTTGATCATCCCTTTCTTCTAAAGGGAGCGGCAGCGCAGTCAATTATGTCAGGCATAGCCATGTTGCTATGCATCCCTAAATCCTCAGAAGGGGATGCTGAATCCTTCCCTCTCTCTCTCTCTCTCTTCTGATGAGTGCAGGTGGTCTATCATAGCTTCCCATCTTCCAGGCAGGACCGATAACGATATCAAGAACTATTGGAACACCAAGCTCAAGAAGAAATTCCTAGGTATTGTTCCTTCCCAGAAGAAACAACAACATCAACTGCAACTGCAACAGCAGCAGCAACACCACAACCTCTTCTCGTCACTCTTCTCCTTGTCCCAAGGTGGCTGCAACACCACCGCCCCGGATCTAGAACTCGTCGCGGGTCTCGGAGAATTCCCTTCACTGATCTCTCAGAGAATCCCGGGTTTTGCCTCCACCTCCACCTCCGCCACCGCCGCTTCTGCTCTCTTACAAGTTCCATATCGTCAGCCCCTGCAGATGATGGAGAGGAGTCATACTACTATGATAGCTTTTGGTAATTCTGATCCCAGCTGCAACTCCTCTGGTGGCAGCTGCACTCAGATCAGCTACGGGACGGAGTTGGAGTACGACTGTGACGTCGGTAGAGGCTTTGAAGGAGAGCAGATTAGCATCGACAACTACGCGACGTATGGCGGTCTTGAGTACAACAGCAGATCGTTACGGCCGGGAGGAGGAGGCCATGTAGAAACTCCATTGGATTACACCTATGAGGAGATCAAGCACTTGTTGAGCTCCAATAGTTCTGGGTGCAACACCATCAACAACGACAACCCTTCTCTACCTTAACGAGGCAAGCCATGTTCATCTTCATCTTCATCTTCCGAGCATTATATTACTGACTGTAGCCGGTGTCTGATGAGGAGGTTCACAGTCGCACTCGCTGGTCAAGACAAGGTTTTGGGTTTTCTTGAACATGTTCTTGTAATTAATTAGATGCTTCTTGTGTGTGTGGTGCCGACCATCGCTCTCTGCCTGCTCTCGGTAATATAAATGCCTTGTCGTCTCATACGGAGTAGCAGAATAGCAATCGTCAGAGGTGGAGGACGTGTTTTCTCCATCTATTTTCTGGTTTTGATCCCAGTGATGAGTGATTGCACGGTTCCATACGCATATATAATGTTTGAACCTGTGCAGCTTTATGCTTTAAACATCGATCACTGATCTCTCATTTTGTATCGCTCCATTAGGGTTAGATTAATCGGTCGGTCACATGGGAAGGAGAACGAGAGGCTGTCGAACATGGATTGTGTCAGAAACATACGTTGAACTCATATGAGATTCTTATGCTAATTAATCTGCTTCTTGCTCCTCCTCCTGTCTTGGAGAACGCATCCCGATGCTGTTGCATCGACTGCATTTTGCTGGAGATATGTATATAAGCTTCGTATCTGCTTCGAAGCCCAAACATATACACTGCGTTTTGTTCTTTGATTTGTGGTTCGACTTAACCGATTGACATGCAGTCGTGAGAGGGAGGTGTTCTTCTCTTCTCATCTCATCTCATATCTGGGAGATTGCAAGGTGAGAGTTGTACCGTTGATGTCTTTCTTCTCCGCGTCTTCTTCATTTTCGCTGTATTGGATCGAAATTTTGTTTGATGAATCGCTGGTATGTGTTTCTTTTCGACATCGATCGAAGGTGTAATCTTATTGTTCTTCAGATTATCCATTTGTATTGTGTAACGAACGACGAAGGAAGTACGATGGGTTGCAGTACTACTCTTGTAATTAATGTACTGACTCACAAACAAATTCATTAGTTTATAAATATAAAAATATATTTATGATAGGAATACATTAATTTTAGAGAAGATTTCAAATCCAAAATAAAAAAAGGAATCGTCAAGATGAAAAAAAATAAAACTAAAAATTAATGAAAATAATAGAAGATAAGAACAATTACTGTAGAAGCACTTCAATACATTAACATGTTCCATCTCCTATTTATACAGATGAGAAGAAAGGATTTCCCTAATAGAGGATTTTCCTCACAGAATAGAGAAATTTCTTCATATAGTTGGGAAAATCTTATCTTCTATAAAAAATAACATATTTCGATAAATAATCGAGTTAGTTTCAACTCAAGCACAAACTCACATAAATCATTAAAAAAATTTCATAAATATTTTTATCACTTTTTTTATAAAAAAACCTAAAAACATATATTTCATCGTATCTTTCTTTTTTCCCGCGAAGAACACATATTCGTTCTGTGTTTATAGAAGAATAAAAAAATTAATTTTTAATATTTTTTATTTTAAAAATCTAAAATAACTTATCAATCCCAACAAACAAATAATAACAAGACGAATACACCAATAACATGATATCTTTAAGTAATGGGACATAGAGAAAGATAAAATTAGCTCAGGCGAAGTTAAGTTAATAAAAAATTGAATCAGTACCTTCTTAAAAATAATCAAGATTATCAAAAGAATGAATATGATGTACGAGATAAAAATTCAGAGTCGAATAGAGATGATCATAAATACATTTTTTTGGATTATATTGGTTGACAATCTCGTCTCGTCTCATCTCATGCAGACTATTCTTATCAAGTTTGACTCACAAAGCTTAGTTCCAATAACAAAGCTCGGCCTACGTAGGCTATGCCTGCAAATTAAGATATTGTCATGGTCCTGATCTCCATATGAAATGTATATTTACTTTGATTACACCTGCGATCGATTTGATGCATCGTTTGACATCTCCAAAGTTGAGTCCATGATATGAATGCCATGCATACAATAATTCCTCAATAAAAAAAGGACAAAAAAAAAAGTAATAATATGTCTTTGATAAGTCGAAAGCTACCCATAGAACTCGTAAACTTTTCCTGCTTAAGACAAGTCAAAGTTGATTGGTGCAACACGTCCATCAATCAATCAATCAAATAACTGTGAAAGAAAATTATTCGATTAAATGTACTGTACGAAAAAGCAAAGAAATAATTATGATCGATCGAACCAACGACGGACTACTCCTCCACATGGTCGTGCCACCTCGACTTAATGGTTGCACCTGCTGAGCTACCGATGGTTGACTCAAATCGAGTCAAATTGCGGTGGAAGCATGCGACGCTATCTATTTTTGTTTGTCTGCAATCAAACATGTTATTGTTGTCGTGCGTTCGTAGTCATGCGATCAGCTCACCGATCTACCATGGCGTGATGATCTCTGTTGAAGTACCCGTTTGACACATGCAATCTGTTGTTGTTGGTGAATCTTTATTAGTTAGCACACTTCGATCCGGATACATAAGGTTGCGCATGTGAAGAGTCGAGTGGAAGAAATGAATGTCGGGTCGGGTTGAGCTACGGGCCTCACTACTTGCTTCTTCGTTGCCAACCTCTGCACTCAAGACGAGGTCGGGTCTTTGATTAGTATTCAAAGTTATAATGAAGTGAAATAATAGAGAGTTGAGTATTCAAAATCCCCTTTGATTGGTCAAAGGGTTGGTTTTACGGTTGGTCGTACGTGGTCTTTTAATGATTGTTAACTCCTCGGGAGGATGACTTATACTCTGCAAATGAACGTCGACCGACTCGTACTAGTTGGCACCGTCCCGAGTTTTGCAGAACGACTTTGGAGTGTTCGGTGTCGCACAACGTCATGCGACACCGTCTTGAGTTTTATGGAGTGACTCTGGAGTGTCCGATGCAGACTTGTATGGTACCGAATAATGTGGAGATCGCATCTCGTTCGGGTCTAAGGTGTCGCTCTATGTCAATTCGAAGGTCCTTTGGTACCACGTTGATGGGTGGTGCCAAAATATATCACAATCATCATCTATCCTACATTATTTAATGAGTGTAACATCGTACCAGTTTAACAAGAATTGACACTGCACGAAGACTATTTCTGGACTTGCATTGATACCATAACCAGTCCCGTCTTTTGACTGGGTTATTACCCAACATACACTTCAATACTTGTAACAAAAATACGTATTTAATAATGCTATATTTATATTCAAGAAATCTGCATCATTCACTTAGCTTTAGTTTCGAGTGAGATATATAATAATAATAATAATAATAATAATAATAATAATAATAATAATAATAATAATAATAATAATGATAATAGCTCAAGCTTTTGGCATTTATGGTTAGTAGTTTGGTGGATCTAAATTAGGAAGTCAGTAACTGTGCTATGCAAAGAGAGCCGGCCTTCATTTCCTTTTTATGGGCTTTATGTGGGCCTCATCTTTAAGCCCGTTTAGTGACTCGAAGAATAAAGCTACGAGGAGTCCCGACTCGTCTTTGTCCCCTCATCACTCTCTCTTTCTTGAACCCTAACTTCTTGGCGTCGGCGGCGGGCGGCGAGAGAGAGAACCTGAAGCCACCCTTCTCCTACGCATCACAAGGGCTTCACGCGGTGAGTCATAGATCGAAGCCATCGAGCTTCTACCTCTTTCATCTGCTATTTCTCTTTGTCGGCGAACGGTTTGCTATTCCATAGCGTTCATGATCTACGGGTCGTATATGCTTTCGGCCGGTTTATCTGGGTTGCCTGGAAGGTCGTCGGCGATTATGGCAGAGGAAGGTGAGGCGTATTTCGGTGTCTGCCTCTCGTCCAATCTATATCGGTGACCCGGCCATCCCATTTGTTCCAGTCATCCAAATAGATCGATGTAATACAATTTATTTATTTATTTGATAGAATATCGGTATCTAGACATATAGCTCGATATTGATGCAGCGCAAATTATTTTGTATTTTTTGTTTAATGATATCGGACAGTTCAGATTGGTATGCCATCTACTATGTCGATACCGTACTAATCCAATGTATATATATTTAGCCTGTGTCGGTTCGTTTCTGGTTGCATACCAGAAACGGTTCATGTGTAGGTTCCATTTTTCACTCAAAAGATGTCCTAGTTTTGGTTATTTTGAGTAAGGGTAGGATGTAGTGTCAGCCCTCGGAGAGCATAATGGTTTACTATAATGGAAGACTCATTGGCTACGAATTGGAAATATGACTTACCTTAAATTTTCATCTATATGCAAGGACAACATGCTTTTAGCACCCATGACACAAGGTGTACCAGATTAAGCATTGTTAGATTCATCTTTGGGGATATAGAGGTTCGTTTCTCCTCTACGCACATATAGTGGTATATTATCTTGTTAGCCATTTCTCTTGGTGGAATTGTCATTCTGTGGAGTATAGTTTTATCATTGAAGAACTTTATTGAGAACTACTGTTAAACTCTTCCTGTCTTTTTATGTTCCTCAAGTTCCTGCTTAACATTTTAATGCTATTTTCAATTATATGCGCGAGCAATATTTTGATCCTTGGTACTTGGGCTTACAGGTCTTTCCCTAGACTAAAGATGGGGATTGGTCCAGCTCCGTTCTCTGAGATTGGGAAGAAAGCTAGAGGCAAGAACTAGACACTTCATTGACATTTTCTTGTAGGATGAATTTGAAGGCAATTTTTTGGGAGACACACTGTTGCCATTAAGTTCTGTCATATTTCTCAGTTTGTGCAGATGCTAAGTTAATATATGTTTTATCACTCTGCATTTATGATGCATCTTTCCTGTGTTATTACGAACCTAATGGTGATACAAGGATACTGTTTCATATAATCCATTATTTTGGAGAAAAAAAAATGATGTCATGTTAGATGATTTCTTTGTCTCTAGTTTTTCTTTCACTTTTATGTTCAAGAAATAACTTCCTTCGAATCATGATGATGTTCATGGTGATTTGACCACTTGTTGTCTTGTTTGGCAACCAGTAATATTTTACTGATATATTCAGTGTAAAAATCTTCATGAGTACAGTTAGACCATTGGAAATCTTGTGATTGTTAATTTGGAAATTTATACAAATACAGGATTTATTGGTTACAGAAGCAACCATTAATAGTGGAAGATGAGTCTTAGTAGTTACACACACACACACACACACACACACACACACACACACATATATATATATATATATAGGGCTTGAAGTGTTTAAAACTAACATGGAATAAAACCTTATGAGATAGAACTTTTTGATTTTCTTATTCTCTTAGGTATTTGCTTCACTTTTTACTTCCATCTTCAAATTTATTCCCTGTGTGCTATTTAGTCTATGTTTTCTGCATTTTGGTGCTTTTTAATGAATTGGCTGCTAATCTTCATGTATTGCAACATAAGAATCAAGTCACTCCTCTTGGACTGCTTGCACTTTGTTATCTGCATCAAAAGCTGTTCAATCTGATCGATCAAGGATGCAAGGATACTGCTTCATTCTTAAATTTGTTATTATTGATTCAATTGTGGTGGTTTATATATTTTTTTATCAATTCTTATTTAAATTCTTATTGAGCCAGCTGACAAATATTTTTCATTGTCCCTTGCAGATCTTTTGAACAAGGATTACAACTTCGACCACAAATTCATTTTTTCTAAAACAAGTGATTCTGGTCTGGTAAGGATTAAGATTTCCACTTTTGACAAACTTCTATGCTTTTACTGATGAATAATATAATGTGATTCATTGAGCTATTGTGAAATTCTTGTTTCTTTTTAGTTGCCTAGCCGCCAAATATTCTCATCTTTGAGCAAAGTTCCTGTGTCTGAAATTACTGAACATAGACAGATTGATGTCATATAATCTAGAGAATTCTAGACAGTATTACTAACCTAATGCCTAAATAATGGCTATTGCCTTACCCACCTTCTGCATGTTCTATTGCCTAGAGTTGTCAAAAGTTTACTGGACTTCTTCTGAGGCTACTCTCTTTGAGTTTTTTTTGGTTTAAGTTGTTTTGTAACTCCTGTAGATAGCAGCTATTGGAGTTTTGAGCTCTGAGAAAAGCAAAAAGGAACCAAGAATTAACAGAGATGTATCCTGATAGATTTTGAACCTCTTGCTAGCAATTGGTGACTGCTTAGAAAACATTGTTAAGAAGTTTAAGAAAACTGATACTTGATAGATTGGAATGAGAATCCATTGTGTATTTACATGTCCCCTCTGTAGTTTCTTTGTTGTTTTTTGTTGTCAATGGTATGAGAATCTATCAGTATACATGCATGGAATGGTTCTTTGGACTGAGATGTATACATCTGTCATTATATATCTCATTGGAATGAGATGTATACTGATAGATTTATATTTCCCCTCTGTAGTTTCTTTGTTGTTTTTTCTTGTCAATCATTATATACTCATGATTTACTCACTTTGCGATCTTCAATCTCTTGCAGGGTCTTACGGCTACTGGCATCAAAGTAAATGAATTATTTATTGGTGATATAAGTACACAGTACAAAAGTGGTAAAACAGTTGTTGATGTCAAAGTCGATACAAATTCCAATGTAAGTGTAATATTTGATCACTCTAGCGTTATCAAACCTTGTATCACCATGCCTATCGTATGAAGTCAGTGCCTACTCTAATCTAAGAATTTACTTGATGCTGAATGAAATTACTTTATGTGACTGCATTCATAGCTTTGCCTCAGAATTTTAACTGATATATGCTATATGGTAACAGATCTCAACAACAGTTACTGTTAATGAATTGTTGGCTGGTGCAAAGACTTCATTGAGCTTTAAGATACCTGATCAGAAGTCTGGGAAGGTTAGTAAATTGTTATGTGCTACATTGCTAGCCTAGATATTTAGTTGTACGTGTATGCTATGGTTCTTTTTCTTTTTTTTTGTTCTATCCTTGGTTGTACTTTGATGACCTTGAATGTGAACTGTGTTTAATTATTATCAGCATGGTTTACTCTCGAGACGGGCATACTATTTCATGATCAACCATATTTCTTCTCCAGGTGATTGCTTGCCTGCTTTGGGGAAACCCACCAAAGACTTTGCTTAGTCAAGTTCATGACCTTAAGCTTTACAAAGAAGTTTTATCCATTGCCCCCAAAGAAAAGATTCCACGGACGTGCATTTTTATTAGCATGACCTCCAAGTACAAATGGATCTGTTACTGCTAATCTAATATGGCAATGAATACGTAGTTAAAATAAAGCAGTTTTGAAGCTGATGAGTGTGATGTTAATTGATAAGAATTATTTAATTACAACCCCATTGTACATTATGTCATCATCGGAAACCGTGGTGATTAAATTGGCTCAGCAGTCCTGGAGGTTACTCCGCAGCTAATATGGTGTTTATAGTATCTAATTATATAGTAAATGAATAACATTCCAAATTCCATAAAGTAAAGTTAGATTTGAGAAAATTGTCATCGAATCTTGTCTAGATTCTTTGAATTTTATATAGAACATTATTATGGCTAACATTAAAAGCTATTCAAGGCATACTTGCCAGGATTGGCAATCGATTGTGTCCTGGTTCAAGAAACTACATGAAAGTGGGAATTGGGAAACAATAGCTAAGGAATTATTAAAACTGGTAAACAAGAAACAGAACAAAACAGATAAATAATCGTGCATAATTGTTAATTATGGGTTTCCCCTTAACTATGGGAACTCATTCTGTGCAGGTTTGAACAGGGCTAAGTTTCCCACAAGTCTTGAAAATAGAGTTGAATTCAGTGTCAGGGAGATGCAAGGTGGAGCAGAAACAAGTTTTAGATAACTATGAATGTAAGTGCCAAAAGTTTAGCATTGGTGGAACAGTTAGATTTAAGTGCTGAACCTGCACAGATTATGTCATTGACTTTCACTGAAATGACAATTGTTAAATAGTTAGGTGAAATAGGCTCGGGTTACATTTATCTAGGAAATGTTATAAAGAGCAGAAATAGTGATAGAAAATAGTTGGCTGCTAAACAAACAAGATGTTTATGGAGTAATGTGCCATAGGTAAAGTTTATTGTATATATGATTCATATTTTGCAACAGAAGATTGTTTTGTTCTCTTTCTTAATTTTTTAAGAAACTAGTATTTTGCACAATTCAAAATGATTAATTGTTAGCTTCCTTGTTTACACTTAGCAAGCATTGATAGCAACCAAGCATATGCCCATTAACAAGCTGGGTTTGATTTCACTATCTAGAGTTAAACCTGAATTATTCCTGAGTTTAACCAAGATGCATATGCTTTATATTTGATTCCAATGACCTTGGTGGAGAGCCTGAAATGGGAATACAAGAGGAAAGTAACTTTTTAACTTGGAGCAGCTGTTGAAAGTAAAACCTTTGGGGTTTGCTGGAGTATCAGAAATTAGCACACCACATATTTCTTGATCTACTAATTGGCCTATGTAGAGGGCTCTTGGATCATTTAATTTTTAAGTACTTTTATATGTTCTCCAATAGTATTGTGAGAAGAAAACATTAAATTTGTGAAACATTTCAGAATTACTTTCCATAATCAGGAAGTACATTAAGATACTCAGAATTTTCAGAAATTCTTCCTAGTTAACCATTTAACCAATTCATTATATGATCATGGGCTGAACCTGTGGTTGTTAAAATTAAATAGTACTTTGTAACTCCTACTCCAGAAAATAATGTAAACTTTATATTTCCTTAAGTCTGCTGGCATTTTCATGACCTTCTTGTGGCAGGATCTCGTGCTTCTAATATCACAAGCAACTGACAAGAAATATCTCTGCCAAAATTAAGTTTTGCTGAAGATCAGTATTGCTATAATAATTGATCATTTGATTAGGGCATCTTTGATTTGGCAACTTACATTTGAAGGACATCATAGTTTTTGTCATCTAGCATAGTATGTTCTGGCCATATTTTATCATCAAGCAATCTGATTATTTTTCAATGCCTCTTGTCACAGCTTGATGTGCACTACCTCCATGATCTTGTAGCTTTCAATTCTAGCATTGGCTTGACCCCGACCCCTTTGCTGGAGTTTGCTGCAGCAATTGGCAGCAGGGAACTTACTCTGGGTGCTGAGATTGGATTTGATAGTGCATCTGCTTCTTTCACCAAATACAATGCTGGGTTGGGCTTTAACAAGCATGATTTCTCTGCGGCGCTAATGTTGTAAGTGCCTTCAATTATTTCATGGTCCCTTTGCTTTATATGTTTTTTTCTGGTAGGATGTGAGGATAGTTCAGAATGCAAGTGTTGTATGAGTTTCCCATAGATCTGCATATGGTGCTTTTGATGAATTTTCCACATATTGCACATATAGAGTCTGAAGCAATATTTAGTTTTACATGATAAACCTTGAAAGTCTTGTATTTCTATAAAATCTGAAAATAAATAAATAAATGTCCCTGACGTCAGTTACTTGTGTGGACTTTTACGAGTTTGCTTTTTTTTTCCAGATAAAATGATCAATATGCTTCCTTTCATAAATGACATGTTATTAGAAAAGAGAGATGGAGAAGAGAGTAGATGGGCCATCTGAATGATGGAGAAGAAGAGGGGTGGAGGGGGGATGGAAAGAAGGCAAGATGCATTAATTTGATTAGGGAAGGAATGGAAATGGGTTAAAGATGGAGAGTAAATGGTGGTGTGGTGCTTGGGTGGCAATTTGTTATTATTCAAAAAAGCATGTTTTCTGTTTCATTGAATTAATAAAGTTTTTATTTTCTTCTATATTTTAGGACCGACAAGGGAGAGACCCTCAAGGCTTCTTATATCCATGTGCTAAATCCAATCAATGGAGCTGCAGTGGCTGCTGAAATGATCCACAAGTTCAACACAAATGAGAACGGTTTCACCATTGGAAGCTCGCACAATGTTGATCCTCTGACCATGGTAAAGACACGGTTTAGCAACAGCGGAAAGGCTGCTGTCCTCTGTCAGCACCAGTGGAGGCCGAAATCCTTCATAACGCTTTCGGCCGAGTACGACCCCAAGGCAGTAAGTGCACCTTCCAAGTTGGGTCTGGCTCTAGCTCTCAAACCTTGAGAGCCAGACGAAGTCCTCTCTTTATGGGCATGTTTTAATGTGCTCTTGGCCACATTATTCTTTTTGAAGTTGCACCATGGTTTTGAGAAACCCTCTTTAGAAATATGGATATAAAGTATCCAAAACAAAAGTGGCTGAGTTCGAACTCAATTTTGATTCATCATATCCATCCTTCACGATGAGAGTTCATATCACACACATTATTTACTTAAATGTATTTTGTCTGCTGTTTGGGTTCTACGTTGGACAGTGTTGATTCTGTTGTTAAAACCATTAATGTCGTACGCAAGCGGATCTTTCCGATCCGGTAGTTAAAATTTTGAGGTCTTTTGAATGCTGGATGGTGGGTTTAGTTGGAAGGTTTATTCTGTGATAAATTTGCTGGATTTGGAACCATAGTTCGAGTTATCGACCAGCATTTAATACACGCAGAGTCATCTTTTAACTAGCAGTACAATTATACGCGGTACAACCTGTACACGAATTTAGTATAAGTGTAGATATTGCAAGCACATGTGAATCCCTACATCTCCTTGGCAAACTATGTCGCCAAAATAATTCCTGTACTATTGCCTTCGTATGCACCGCACCGCACCCCACCCTTTTGAGTGAATACTGTTGCCGATATAACATTTTACAGGATAATAAAAATCGGTAATGATATTAACTTCAGAAAAAACCAAACGAAATGCCAAAGTAAATAAAATATGCAAGACTAAATCTCGATTTAGTTTTCCTATTTTTACCAACTTCTACCAAATGATCGAATTACTTTGAACAACAAATAAAAAAGAAAAAATCTAAAACACTAGTATGATGCAAATGTACTTAAGTCGCTTTTCTTATTTTAAAGGGTTTGAAATCTCCTCTGATGAAAACTAACAATAAAAGATTATATATATACAATGGGATAACTTACCAAGACCTATTTTGAGTCATTTGTACATAACATCTCCTGTAATTTGCTGATGCTCGCGATACACTGTTTGTAATTTACAAAAAGTTCCACTGCCGATATATCTTTTCTACAATACCTACCAACCCCACTACGAACTGCAACGCAGAGGGTCCCAGAGGCAGGTGGAACGCCCCAAAGCAGTGGCACTGCGATGGTCATAACGAGCTTCTTCTGCAACCCTCCGCTGCTCACTTTCTCTGCCGCGACAACCTGCAAAAGGACGTTTCTTAAGTTAAGCAAACGCCTCTGCTAAAAAACTGAATGGAAACTAAATCAAGAAATTATGAGGTGTCAAACGCTTGGATGCTAGATTTTCTATCCCTAATCAGCTAAAGCATACCAATAATGAACACGAAAATAATGACAAAAGGCAAAGGGTCGTGACGAGAGGAGACCATAAGAATTTTGGTAACCAGATTTTCAACCTAGATCAGCCATGCAAAACAAAAACACAAAATGACAATACAAAGCCTCGTTACTGTTCAAAACAGTATTTTCAATAGTCGCTCGAGCGCTCGCCTAGGCGCCCAGGCGAGGCGAGGCGAGGCGAGGCGAGACGAGGCTCGAGCATCTCGTAACAAGTTTGGGTAAGGCGATTCGATGAGGCACCACTCGGGCACATGCCTCAACCCAGGTGTTGGGGGATCAGGCATGTGCCCGAGCCGAATAAAGCATGGGTTTGGTTGGGCTTTGATTGGGTTCAATCAATTGGACATAGTTGGTTCAACCGAACCAACTAATCAACAACTCACCCTCCCCCCTCCGCGCTCGACCTAATGAAGAATCTAGCGGAAGAAACCCTACGGTGAGCCTCCGTCGCCATACTGTCACGGACTTAACTGAAATTGCCTAAGTCGTAAGGCACCATTGCGGCAAAGTCACGAACTTAGTTGCGGTTGCTTAAGTTGTGAAGCACCCTTGCACTAACTCCTTGGACTTAGCTAGGATTGCCTAAGTCATGAGGCGCCCTTGTGACATATGCGTCCACAAAGGTTCAGCCTAGTTGCAACCTCGTACAGGTCTCTAAGGACCTGTAAAACAGAAAGTTAATGAGATTAAAAACGAGCGACGGACAAGTCCCGACGTCTCGTGAAGAGGGAAGATTTACAAGCAATTTAACAAGCACCTTGAGTGCAAGAGAGAAAAGAGATGAAGGAGAAAACAATACTTTAAAAGGTAGAACGAACAGTTGCAAGTCCACAAACAACTGCTCACCGGGTGCAGGCGCGAAGGCAAGTTCCCGTCAAGTTAACGTGCGAACTTGTGAAGATTTTTCAACACATGACAATATACCTAAGCCCCATCCAGCCCTGTTCCACCCAGGGGGTTCTAAGGTGCTGAGATGGCTGGCATTTTGGTGTGCAACTGCGGCTTGCAGAAAACAAGCCGTGGCACGCGAAAACGGAGCCATTTTGGGGCATTTCGACCCGGCGCGACGAGCGGTCGCACTGCAGCGTTGCACCCTATTCGAGCATGCATTTTTACAAGCAAAAACACACAACCAAGGCAAAACATGCTACAATGTCTTTGTACAAGCATGCAAAAGCGACGAAGGGTTCGTTGAACGAAGTTGTTACGAGTGTGCGACGACCGTTCGTGACATTCTCCCCCACTTAAACTGTCGACGCCCTCGTCGATGCTTGTTGGTTGTTGTTGATGATTGCTTCTTCTTGTCGTAGGGCATTTTCGGGCTCTCAACTGGCTTCGATTCAGGGAAGCTTTTGCCACTTCACTAAGTACTCGGTCTGCTCAACTCCATTAGGTAGCTTTATCTTGCGATCCGCTAAAATGATTTCAACTCGCTTTTCGTATGAGGCTCCGGTGGGGGGTAGCCGAGTTGGAACACTTCGGGAAGCATCTTACGGATCTAAGTGGTTGGCTTTCAAGTTGCTGGCATGAAAAACATTGTGAATTTTGAGCCATACCGACAGCTGCAACTTGTAGGAGATGTTGCCCACCCTATTGATAATTGGGAAGGGCCCTTCATACTTGTGCACCAATCCTTTATGTACTTTATTCCTAAAGAATCGGAGTGATGCTGGTTGGAGCTTTACCAACACCAAATCATCGACTTTGAACTCCTGCGGTCACCTTCGCAAGTCTGCCCACTTCTTCATCTTTTTGGCCACATTCTCCAAGTAAGCCCACACAATATCTGCATTTCGGTGCCATTCTTTTGCAAAGTGATATGCTGACGGACTACTCCCAGTATATCCAATAGCTAAGGTGTGAGGAGTTGACGGTTGTTATCCTGTAATGATCTCTAAGGGGCTCTTGTTAGACGCAGAGCTATGCTACAAGTTGTAGGAGAATTGGGCTATGTCCAACAGCTTCACCCAATCTCGTTGGTTGGCACTCACGTAGTGCCGAAGATATTGCTCAAGGGGGGAGTTTATTCTTTCAGTTTGGCCATCCGTCTAGGAGTGGAGGCTTGTGGAGAAGTATAACTTAGACCCCAATGATTTGAATAGCTCGGTCCAGAATCGTCCCAAGAACCAAGCGTCTCGATCACTGATGATATTGTGTGAGACTCCCCAATACTTCACCACATTTTTCATCATCAGCTTGGCCGCCTCCTATGCTGAATAGTGTAGGGGTGCAGCAATGAAATTTGCATACATTAAAAATCGATCGACCACCACGAGTATCGATCCGAGTCCCCCTACTGCCGGCAACCTTGATATGAAGTCCAAGGAAATGCTCTCCCATGACCTTTCTGGTATGGGTAACTGTTCTAAAAGTCCCACCGGCTTCCGCTATTCCATCTTGTCTTGTTGGCAAGTGAGGTACGTTCGAACATATTCCTCCATATCAGTCCCCATCTTCAGCTAGTAGAAGGCCCTCTCCACAAGAGCCAAGGTTCTGTGAATACTTGGATGTCCAGCCCAAAGGGAATCGTGACACTCTCTTAAGAGTTCACGCCTTAAATTGTCCACTCGATGAACACAAACCCTATTCCCTTTTGTGCAAACGAGTCTCTCCTGGACCCAAAATCGTCGTGTCTTGCCTTTTTTGATGAGCTGCATCAGGGTTACTATCTGGGGATCACTGTACAGTCCATCCCTGATCCTGGAAAGGAAGTTGGAGTGAAACTGACTTATTTGGCCTCTGCCCTCCAACTGCATGACATTCACTTGCTCCACTTTTCGGCTCAATGCATCGACCATGACATTTGCTTTTCCGGGCTTGTACTTCATTGCCATATCAGCCTGGAAATCCTGTCATCGTGCTTGCTTTGGGGAGAGTTTCTTTTGAGTTTGGAAATAGCTCAAAGAGATTTTGTCTGTCGTCAGCACAAATCGCGATCCAAGAAGGTAGTGCCGCCAAACTCGTAGATAGTGGACCACCGCCATCATCTCCTTCTCGTGCACCAGATACCGTCGCTCGGTCTCATTGAGCTTACGACTCTCGTAGGCCACCAGGTGACCCTCCTGCATGAGTACTCTTCCAATAACGAAGTTTAAAGCATTTGTATGGACTTCGAAGGGCTTCCCATAGTCTGACAATTTGAGCACCGGTTTTTCCAACACAGCAGCCTTCAGATCTTGGAATGCAGCTTTACATTTATTAGACCACCTCCAAGGCTCCTCCTTCATCAACTCCGTCAGTGGAGTTGCACGCTTCGAATACCTCGCTATGAAGCGTCGATAGTAGTTGATGAAGCCAAGGAAGGATCTCAGCTCTGACACCTTCTTTGGAGTTCGCCATTCCGCTTGCACCTTTTATTTGTCCATCTGAATGGAGCCATCACCGATTCGATGCCCCAAGAATAAGATCTCCGTTTAAGCAAAGTAGCACTTCTCCCTTTTCACGAACAAAGTATTCTCCCTGAGAACCTTGAAAATTGTCCGAAGGTGTTCGACATGCCCCTCGAGCGTTTGGCTATGGACGACGATATCATCCAAGTAGACGACCACAAACTTATCAAAATACTCTTTGAATAGTTGGTTCATAAGAGTGCAGAACGTGGCCGGAGTATTGGTTAAGCCGAAAGGCATCACTAAGAACTCAAACGCTCCATACCTGGTCACGCAGGTAGCATTCGTTTCGTCGCCTTCAGCAATGCGCACTTGCTACTACCCTGACCAGAGGTCAAGTTTGGAGAAATACTTGGCTTTGCCCAATTGGTCGAACAAGTCCGCGATGAGCAGGATGGGATACTTGTTCTTCACCGTCACTTTATTGAGGGCTCGATAATCGATGCATAGTCGGAGGCTCCCATCTTGTTTCTTTTGGAAGAGAACTGGAGCTCCGAATTGTACTTTAGAGCTACGGATGAGACCACTGCTTAGCAGTTCATATAACTGCTCTTTGAGCTCTGCCAGCTCTGGAGGGGATGTGCGATAGGGTGGTCTCGCTGGAGGCTTCACTCCTGGCTCCAGCTCGATATGATGATCTTGCGTGGTGGCAGAGTCTTCGACAACTCGGGTGGCATAACGTCTGTGAACTCCTTTAGAACATTCACCACCACAGCAGGTTCATGAATAACCTCATCAAGTGGCTCTAGCTTCACAGCGGCCACAAATGTTAATTTGCCTTTTCATACCCCTTTCTTCAGTTGTAATGTCGATATCTGTTGGGGGTCCTTGGTTCCTCTCCAAGAGACGGGAACCACACAAGGGTCGTCACCTCCCATCATATATAGGGAGTTTAGGAACGACATTGACACCAACTTCATCGCGTGCATAAACTCCATTCCAAAAATCACTTGGAAGTTGTCTAATGGCACCGCCATCGTGTTCGTGCTCCCGCTCCATGTTCCGATCTTGATGGGAACTCCCTTTGCCAGCCTGGAGATCCGCTTGGCCTTTGAATTCACCGTCTTCATTCGACTTGGATTCTTCTCCAAGATTAGCCCAAGTTGCTTTGCTTCTCGATCGACAATAAAGTTGTGGGTAGCGCTCGTGTCCACCATTGTACGGGTTGTTTGGCCATTGAGCTTAATATCCACGTACATCGACTCGCTACTCCCTGCTTTCAATGATTTGCCTTCATGTTCTCACCCACTTGACCCCACAATGCATTCAACAAACACATTGCTCCCATTCGGGGACCTTGCGACTCCTTATCGTCGCTATTGGATTCTGAACTGCTTAAACTGAGGGCGACGACCTTGCCCTTGTCTGATTTGGGGGGGGTGGATTGAAGCTGTTAAAGCATTGAGTGCTTGTTTCTGTGGGCACTCCCTCACCATGTGCGACCCTCCGCAC